AAAAAAACCCACCCCCACCCCCCACCCCCACATTGACAGGGGTTAACTTTTCATTCACTTTTTTCAGCCAAAGCCTTCATGTTACTTCAAAGATCAATGTATTGAAAAGCTGAGGGAATTACCTTCTTGAAATTCTTCATTCCTAGAATCAAAACATTAAATAACTCTTCAACTCACAAACATGTTTTCCCCCCTCTCTCTCTCTACAAATATAGTCTCATCTCAGAGCAGAACCATGCCCTTCTGCCATGTTATGCCTTCGGCTGGGATTCATGTACTTTTTTAGATCAGTAGAGATCATTGATAAATTCATTTGACCTCCTGCAAAAGACAAACCACAGAATTTCACCTCCACATTCCCACATGAATCCTAGTTAAGCTAGTTTTATAGTTTAGGATTATAGCTAGGTTTGGGTAAACATCGCAAAAAAGATCTGCGAACTAAAATTTGGCAGTAATAATGCTCACTATGCTATCACAGTTAATTTTCCAGAAAGATTCATATCCATGATTTTTCAGTCACTGAGACATTTTTTGGGAAGCAAAATGTTTGCCTGAAAATTAAGCAAATAAATATTTATAAAAAGGTTTATAAAAAGGTCAGAGACAAAAGCTTTAAGCCAGTACCATTTTGAACCTATTTAATTTCCACCTATTAATAAAAACAGTGCTGACGACTGATTGCTACTATACCAAGGACAAACAGTAACTGTTGAAAACACATAAGGCAAATGCTTCACAAGCGATCCAAAAAACTGATGTATGTTCCCACAGTGCTTGCAGGTTTATGATAGCTTTAAACCAACCCAAGTTTAGGCTGCTACCAAGAAGGCAGTTGTGCCCCATCTCCCATGAAAGTGCTGCCATTCCCCTTGTGCTAGCCTCAGTTCTGGTCAGGCTGTGTGGAGAACCGAATACTCTTTTTTACGTAGCTGGATTTGCTTTTATAGCTAGATTGGTTTCTTGATCAAAGCTGTTACTCAAAAATCAAATGCTAGCGCCAATGCGAAGGAGGAGGAATGAACGTGTGCACTAGACAGATCAGACCATTCCTTTTGATTGCAGCCTCCACTTAGAATTTAAAGTATCTAAAGCAATCATGAAACTTCAGCCAGACTGGGTTTTAGCCACAGTATTGTCCTAAAAACAGACCCAGAGTTTTCACTTCTGTTCCAAGCTTTATTACAGCCTCCTCTGTGGTTCTGGTTAGTAAACATGCAGCTAAATATTGCAGCTAAATGTTCTGCAATATTTAAGTGTCAACTATCACACTCTGGGGATTATGAAGCCCCTTTTCCTAGGGTGTGAAGATCCCTGAAAGGGCA